TATATACTACCCCCTCACTTTTTCTATCTTCTTCTTTGTCTTTCCTTTTCCTCCTCCTCCTCCTCCTCCTCCTATTTCCCGTCCTCTCAACCCTAATCTTCACCCATTCACCGTCACATCATTGATTCTCACGAAATTTTAAGAGAAAAAGACAGCGTTCAACGAGAAACGCTAGCAAAATCGTAATCGATGGTTCACTTTAAAAAAAAACCAAGGGGTGAGGAAGGGGAGAAAGGGAGGAATGAAGTTTGGAAAAGGATCGAATTCTCACATCTTCGAATTTGAAATTTTATCCAGTTCGTTAAGTTCGTTCTTGGTCTCTTGATATTCGAGCGTAAAAAATTCATTATATTATACATGTATCTTCACGTATTATATGCGCGCGTATAATGGGTGTGTTGTATGTGCGTGCATGTGTATTTTACGTATATATATACTTCTGCGAAGATTCTTGAGCGCAAATATCAACGCCTAGGCTCGTGCCTTCCTTCGATTTACAATCTTAACATATTTTATTTCTATTAGAACTGGAGTTACGCATTTTTTTATCATCTTTCTGTGTCTCTCTCTCCCTTTCGCTTTTTTACTTCGACAATTTATTAGATATCGCATCAACCGATATACATATAATATACACACACACACGTATACATATATATATATCGTTGCTGTTGCGTGCTCAAAATCGGTTCATACTCGTCACAATTTTCAAATTAAAAAACACTCATGCACTCTCATTCTCTTTCATTCTTTCTCATCATTCATTCTATCTATCTCTCTTTCTCTCTTTGTCTTTCGTTCTCTGTCATTATCGGCTTACCAATCTCGTCGCATTCGACACACATTATATTATCCTTAATAAAATTTTTTTCATTCGCTCGAAAAAATTCATTTGTTTTCTTTTTTTTTTCTCTATGAAAATTTTCTCGTCGATAGACTCTTTCTTTCACCTATCTTTTCCACTTAATCTGTTTATTCGAAACTTTTCAGCCCCCTCCCCCTCCCCCTCCCCCACACCTAGATCATCTACTGTTCTCTTATACTATCCACTTTGTTTTTTTTTCGTTTTCTGTTAATTTTAATATCACATTTTCATGGAAACGAACTGGCCCGATGTATACGGATAAAGAAAGAAAAAAAAAATTCTCGTGAGATCTTCCTTCAACGTGTTCAACGTGTATGCACTTACACACGAACAATTTATTTTTTTCATATAGCAATTTGGATCGTTTTTTTCCCCCCTTTCTCCAATTTTCTTCTACTTTTTATTATTATTACAATTATCATTATTATTAATATTACTATTATACAACAATTGTACGTATCGAAAACATGATCGTCTACGAACCGCTATATACACGAAATTTAACGAAAAAAGTCTCAATTAAGTCTCTCCATTTCTCCCTTTCTCTCTCTTTCTCTCTCTCTCTCTCTATTTCAAACGCGAATATACAATTTTTAAAAATTTATTTTTTTTTACCTTCGACGATCGATCGATCCAACATAGCAAATTTTCGTCTATGTATAAATTATTGTTGTCTCTCTCTTTTGTTTTTTTTTCTTTTTCTATCTCAGGTGAACAAAATACGAGCACCGATACATCGGGCAAGCGTTTCCCATTTAATACAATATGTTGTGTATGTATATGTGTGTTTTTTTATATTATACATATACATATACATATATATGTATATAAGTATATGTATGAATATATATATAAGTATATATATATATTTATTATTTCACTACAATAAGGTACTACGAAATGAAAAATTCAAATAACGAAATGAAACAATCCATTCATTCGTTTTTCTGTTCGTTATCATTTTTTTTTTGCTTTTGTGTTTTTGTTCTTTTTTGTATTTTTTTTTTCCTTACAAAGAGATATTACACGGTACGTACGATGAGATTTGGACAGCGACGACGAAACGAAAGATTTTTTACCTGTTTTGTTTTTTTGCATTTTTTTTGTTCTTTTTCTTTTCTTTAATGTATACATAATACATATATAAATATGTACCTTTTGCATTATTATTATTATCATTATTATTATTATTATTAATATTTTATTATTATTATTTTATATTATTATGATTATGATTATTATTATTATTATNATTATTATTATTATTATTATTATTATTATTATTATTATTATTATTATTATTATTATTATTATTATTATTATCTTAAAAATAGAAAAGAAAGATCTCGCGAAGATGCTTCGTCGATCGACGATCTAAACCCTTTTTTTTCTTTTTCATTTATTATTATTATTATTACTATTATTATTATTATTTTTTTATTTATTATTAATATTATTATTATTATATTATTATTACAGTGTATGTATGTGTATTTGTGTCAAGAAATATTCATTGTTAATCGTTCAATGAAACTCTCTTTTTCTTAATCTTTATTACGTTAAAATTAATTTTTGCTCAT